GAGGTTCCAGCCAATCTTGATACTTCCCTGTCCTACGTCATGGAATCAGCTACACTTCAAGGAACTATGGTTCTTTCTGGTAGAGAATAGTATCTCTCTCTCTCTCACACACACACACACACACACACACACACACTATAATTAGGGTGGTAGGTAAAATGCTGTTGGGCTGTTTTTTGTGACATTTCTGGTTCACATAACATATGCTACTGAACTCTACTTTTCTTAATAAACTTTAATTGTCCCAAAGCATTGGCATGAACCTTGGCTAGATTTTGATGCCTCTTGTCCTAACCTGTTCAGCCCAAGACCACTAGGGACAAACCTATATTTAGAGAAAGTCAGATATATTGATCCATTCCAGTGAGGGAAATCTCACACTACAGAAATTGTGTGGGATGTCTCTGGAAACAAAGAAAGAGTTATAAAATCCGGGAGATGGATGCACTTGGGTGAAATTTAAAGGAAGCAGTGTTTTGATTCGAATCAGGGCTATTTATAAAGAAGTCAACATCAGATCTGGACTGAAGAATAGTCTCAGGATCCTGTTTTCTTGAAAACAACAAAGTTACCGGATGTGGACTGCTGTATTCAGGAGCCCCTGAAATGGAAGGCTTTGCTTCTAGACTGGAAATTGAGGCTGCTTCTTTGTGTCAAAGTGACTTAAATCCTCCAAGCAAAAGCAGGCCATTTCATTCCTGCTGATAACAATTTCAACAGCAAGGTTCCTAACCCCGTATGCTTTCAGAGAACAAAATGTTTCATTGAGTTAGAAAGTAGACACTCAGAAGAGGGGGTGGTTATTATACTTTACTGAGCATACCCTTCAGGTAAATATTATTTCCTGTTAACTTTCCAGCTGGTGTTTCTGTTTGTTATCTCAGCCCAGTGAATGGCCAAGCAGATATTTACATTCTTTACATGTGAGCTAAATTTTACTTTCTCATTCTGAATTATCCTAAGTCTTGGAGGAAAACCTATTGACTTAATGTGCTGCTTTTGTGTATGCCTAGCCTTCTATCAACCGTGGTTATTGCGAGAAGCACTCATCTTCAACATGTGAACCACAGGGTCATTTGCCTGTTAATGAGCTAAACTGACTGTATCTCAAACAACTACTGCTATATCGCCATCTGAAACCCTAATGATATTCCTGATGGTCATTACCAAGCTGCGGCATTTGCCTTGAAATCCTGCTCACTTCTATCTCTGCTCAGGCATGACAGCTACCCTAGTGTCAATGAATTATATAAAAGGAAGCCCATTACTCTATCCACTGGTACTAAAGTAAAAGTGTAAGCTGTGCAGTAAGCAATACCAGAAGGCTTAAGGAAGTTATAGTCAAATTCAGGATACAGCTATATAATAGATTATTAAAAGTGGTGAAGTTTCAAGCATAGTAAATCATTAACCATAAAGAACATTTAGGCAAATGCAGACACCTAAACATAATTGTTTCCATGACAACTTAAGCATGTTTTTCTCATTCTGCTATTAAGAAAATTACATCCCAATTTGTTAGGTTAGTATTTTAAAACAATTCCTTCCTATGGTGTAATATTACTAAAGACAAGCTGAAAAGAATTGTTGCATTTTGTAATTGAGAGTTAAAAAATACAAGGAGACAACGTAAAATTCAGTGTCTAGACTTTAAGAGCAAAACATGAGTAACAATCATCAACATCTAAACATTTCTTATTGGAGCTTAACTCTCCCTTGCCTCTGCTTCGTTTTTTAGCTACCATAATCTCATTTTTCTTTTCCTACCAAGCAGTACTGATATGTAGTCTGTTCTTATTTCTACCATTTTCTGCCTACTGCGATCTTCTACTCAAGCCAACTCTGTACTCCATCGAACTTTTCTCATTTCTTATCCTCTTCTGTTTATTTATCAGACATTGACTGAAAGCCATAATGTGCCAAGCATTATTCGAGGCACTGACTGAGAGCTTGAAAACAGAAAGTGGGCAAAGTGAAGAGGGGAGTGCAGTAGACTGAGACACCGAGACTCTCTCCTTTCTTGGTCAACATTAACAGAGCACTTACCATATAAATGCTTTGCGTGGGTTAACTCATTTAATCCTCTTGACAACCCAATCAGTTAGGAACTATTAGTATCCCCATGTTCATGATGAAGAAACTGCAGCAGGAAAATATTAAGTAACACAGCTAGTAAGTAGTAGACCTTGACTTTACTTCTTTGGCCACAGGGATTCCTTATGTCTTTGTCTACTCCTCTGACTGCTCCTTGGTCTCATTTTGTCTCTTTCTCCTCATTCCATCCCCATTCCCTTGGGGATGACCTCCCAAATTACCTTTGTCCAGTTCAAATTCCAGTCACCTCTGCTTTATTTTTATCTCTTAAAAACACAATTTCTCTAGTACTGAACGTGTTCTCTTTTTTGATCAACCAGCTCCTCTTCCCAATTATCCTCGGTCTCCTAGGGTAGACACCCTGAAGTCATACTGTGATTTTTTCCTTCCTTTTCCTGAGATGTTCTATCCTGTTCATTAAATCTCACATTTGCCCTTCATGTCATCCATTACCACATACCCTAACTCTTGCAACACAGCTTCCTAGCCATCTCCCCAAACATAGCATCTCTCTCCCACAATCTTCTGTTGAAGAATCTGCAATGGTTTCCTAATGTCTGACCTCTGACAGGCAACATATTCCTCTGCCTGGCTTTCAACGTTCTCCAAAAGCTATACCAACATGACCTATCCAACTTTATTTCCCACCACTTCTCAAAAAATAATCTCCTTTTTCTTCTGTTCCATTCTCTCTTCTTTTCCAATGACTACTCTGCTGCTGAGCTTCTTATCAATTCCCACCTTGACTATTAAAACAATCACTTGACCAATAGCCCGCCTCCAGTTTGTTCTTTCATTTATTCCCTTTTTATTCATTCATTCATCTAACAACATACTATACAAATGCCAGGGGTATAAAAATGGCTAGAACACAGTTCAAATCTCAAGGAATTCACAATCTAACAGGGAGAATACAGAGGACCACATGTATACCTACTGACTTTAAGTACTCTACTAACGGTCTAACTACAATCTAGTGAAAATCCAAAGGAAGAAGCAATTAATTCTCCCAAAGGTGATGGGGAAAACCTTTACTGAAAAGGTAAAACCTAATCAGTGTGAGGACAAACATAATCTCATGAGGGTGTCTGTGGAGTACATTCCAGGTGACAGTGAAAAGCAAGAGCAGAGGACTTTGGTATTAAAGACAATGACATATTTGAAGAGTTTGGTTCAACTTGCCTAATATGTATAGTGTAAGGAGATAGCAAGAGAGGAGCAGAAAATGAAACTGGAAGATAAATGGATATATTTTGAAGTCTTACATAATATGTGAAGGCATTTTCCCATTATCCCCTAGGTAATAGAAATGAGTCTTCGTAGGTGTTTAAGTGAAGGAAGTAAAAGTTGGGGGAAGAGGACAGGGTGACAATGATCAGATTTATATGTTAGAAACATTATGCCAATGAATCAGGTAATAGGACTAAGTCCTAAACAATAGCAGTGGTGACGAAAACAGAAAGACACAGACAATTCAAATCAATAGGGCTTGCTGACTTATTAAATGTAGGGGCTGTGAGGAAAAGGCAGTCAAAAGTTTTTAATGTCTACTACTGAGTAGATGGTGAGGCCTTTGACCACAGAAAGAAATACAGAGGGAGAAACAAGTCTGTCCAAGACAATGAGTTTGGCCTGCAACCTGCTGAAACGGGCGTGACCATCTGGCGTGGGGTCCAGCGTGTGGTTGGGAATCTTTAGAGAGCACTAGGGCTTGGGTGGATGGTCAAGGTCCCAGCAGAGGACCATTTGGTCTAGCTCCCTTTATTCTGGCTCTATTGTACTTACCAGGCAACTTTCTGATATTAAATTGAGCTTTTCAAACTGGGTTTGGTATTTTTATTATTTGGAAATTTTACTTCCAGCCTTAACTTGATAACCCCAAATTATGGCTCACCAGCCATTCTTTTCTGTGTTTAGAAGTCTTGCAGAATCAAATGAGGGTTGATAGAACAGATAAAATAAAAAACCTGATGTTGTAAAGTTCAGTGTTAGCTCTCACCATCCCACCTCCTTCAAGGCCAGATCCTTGCCCCCACCCCGCGCCCCTGCCCCAGGCCTTGCCTCAACAGCCAGCTAGCCTATCTTTAACATCATTTTTAAACTACAGCTATGAAAATCATGAACACTGAGAAGTAGGTCTGTTTGAAGTTTACCTTCATGATATATGTGGAAAATGGATTTTGAAACATATTCATATTAAAAATAACATTTAACCTACATAGAAAACAAATTATATAAACACCTTAATAAAAGTCACCAAGGCAGGAAAAAATACACTAAATATAAATGATCCCCTCGTCATTAAAGCACGTTTAACAGTCCCTCCACCTGGGAGTCTTTATTATCCAGGAGTTGGTATTAAAATTATGTAAGACAGTTATAAAATTATAGCTCTAAAATTCAGCTATCAGTAATTCACATGGGCCCTAAACACAACTGCCAATGGGGTCAGGCAAACAAGACAAGGCAGCAGGAACGGGCACCGGAAGTGCCTGGCCTATGAGAGAGCACAGCCGCTATTCACAGGAAGGCCAGCCAAGTACTGCCAAATATTCTGATTTTTGTCAAGGGGCCAGAAATCCGGATTTTATGTAAAATTTCCAGATTTTTAAAATTCATGTGACCTCTGCGCTAATTATTCCAAATTAGCGAGGTCTTATTATACATCAGTTTCACCTATGTCAACATTTAATAGCTAATGAGGCTGAAAATACTGACTAGACTTTAAAATTTTAATGTTTAAAAAAATAAAATAAAATTTTAATGTTTAACATTAAATATGATTTTAGAAATAAATAAGCTTCTATCTCAGTCACAATCTTATAAATATATTAATATCTAAAGAGCATCATAATTTCAGCCTTTAATGCTGCCAAACTTTTTCTGACAAATAAAAGCTGAGTGGACAGAGTTTTACTTTTCAATTTTAATAGAATGCAAAATGTGTTACAGAGAACAACTTTTAGTTTTTTGTAGCAGGTTGACAGCGAATATACATGAGAATCCAGAAAACATTCACACAACCCATGAATGTGCCAGACCCACAAAATTAACTAATTTTAAAGGATGCAAAGATACTTGTCAATATAATATTTGCCACTGCTCATAAGTTGGTGAGCTCTACTTTAAAAATTCAGTCTCTAACTAGGTCTCATCAACAGCTCTAGTTAAGTTCACCTTGACCCCAGAGGTGACTTTACCCTGTCCCCCACGGAGACCAGCTATGTAAATCTGGGGCCTGGGCACTTGGCTGCTGCCTTCTCTCTTAGACTGCGTGCCAGCATCCTTGGGTGGGTACACCTGTGAACAATTTTCTCTTCTCATGTGACTGAGATCAGTTTGTACTGAGTGAGTAGCTTTCTGACGCAAATTGGCCTAAAAAGAAAGAGAATACACAGGAATTAACCCATCTCTAAAGAACAAATGATATCAGCCTAATCTTTTTTCTCAATCCACAAAGAAATTAGCCCTACAACATAGCATTTTTCTACAAAACATTAAAACATTAGAAAAACTAGAACATAATAAATATCCTTGGGCTAAGAAGTAGGAAAATACATAAAAGGTTGAAAACGGATCCAAAGAAAGAACATACAGATTCAAACTTAACAGTGAGCTCAATTATTTATTAATATAATCTTCTAATTCCTTCATTATTATACTTTGAGATTCAATACCACTTGGATTTTCCCACCATACTTGGTTTATTGTTTTAAAAGGCAAAACTTTAAGATACTGTCTTTTTTAAAAGGACTTCACCCAAGACTTTTAATATAAAAAGTTCTGATGTCTTCAGGTTATATTTTACAGTATTCTACATCTTGCTTGCTCTTTTTATGGATTACTAGTAAACATGAAGTTAAACAGATTACTCAGGCTGGGAAGCAAAAGAGGAGTTTATAAAAAGGAGACTAGGATTTACTGAAGTGATGAGGAAGTCCAAGAAAAAAACTCAGAAGCATTAGAGCCTGAGTTAAAAAGTAGAGACCTGGAATGAGAGGAAACATTCCAGATTTTGAGACACTGTGGGTGAGTGAGAACTGAAACTACTTCCCCTACACTGAGTTTATGGTCTACATTAATATGACTTCGTTATTCCGTTGTCCTCATTAGCAGGATTTTACCATTCCAAGAGACCCCTGTGAAGACAAATAGCTTCAGTGTTCACTACAGAACATCCTGAAAGACGCACCTTCAGTAGTAAGCATCAACAGAGATTAAGCCCTAACATTCTTTGCACCACTGCCCCATAAATCTGTACCCTCTACTCCCGTCAGTGCTGGGCTGCTCTTTCATGATCTTTACCCAATCCAATTCAAGCCTTCCTCCCGTCCCCTGACCTGCCCTTGGCATTGTAAGACCTGCCTTCCACCGTACTTTGCATTCTCAATAAATTCTGACCTTGCTGCTCCCCCTCGAGACACTGCCAAAGCTCTGCTGAGGTGATGGTTCCTCCTACAGCTTTAAGCAGTACACTCAGTTTTGTCCTATCAGCAGGTTGTACTGGTAATACATCGGGAGCTGGCATTCAACATGATGCAATTTCTAGAGGATAATTAGGTCTCCGGTGGGAATCAGAATGAAGTGGAGGTTGAGCAATGAGAAGAGGGGGTCAGTCGATAAGCAGTGCAGCCCCACCGAATACCCCAATCTCTTTATATTTCCAGTCCAGACCTATGTTGGCACTTCTACCTCTCATATGCTATCCAGCCATCATTCCCCTCTTCCCCTTTGCCTATTTATACCTCAGACCAAAAACAAAATGTCATTTAGTCAACTTTTATTTCACTTCTGTTATACCACTTACCAAGAGGTACTGAAATATTTTTAGTGTATCAATGTCACTTCCTAGATGATTAGCTTCTAAAGAACAAAGTAGTGATATCTATGTTACCTAGTATATATCCGATGGGCTCAAGTGAGTTTAATAGATAACAGAAAAGAACACGGGGAGGGAGTGGAGCTTCATGAATTACAGAAGAGTGACTGACGGGAATGGAACAAAAGGATCTGGAAGATGTACCAGGAAACTAATCCTTTCTCATCCCAGGAAATCAAGGGACTGAAAAGCTGCCACCAGAAAGGGTGTCTGCCATCAGAAAAATGTCAAGGTTGGTGAAAAGCCTATAAAACACTGAATATACAAATGGACAAAGGCTAGACCTTATATGAAAAAAGAACTCTGACCCACAACATCTGTAGCCATAGTTATCAGCCCAGAACAGGCAGGACTTGGCCAGCTTCCCTATTTTTTTTTTTTTTTTTGCTGCCCCCACCTTTCAACTAAGGACCAACCAGAGAAAGCCAACGATGCCCACCAAGCCAATCACGTAAGATCCCCCACTTTGAGTTAGCCCACCTCCATCTTCCCCATGTCAACAACCTCTAATCAGAGAACGCCCGAAACCTTCCCCTTTCACTATCAAGCTCTCCCACTTCTCCTGCCTGCTTTGGAGTTTCTGCCAACTGCAAGTGATGGTGGTTGACTCCCTTGCTCTAGCCAACTTTGAATAAATAGCCTCTGTTCCCATTTGGGTAGCCTTTGTTTATTTCCATACCTGATTTCAGTTGAAGAGATGCACAAAATATACTAAGAAAAGGCTACAGATATAAAATAGTTTGATTCCTTCATACTCTAAATACTTGTTGTTTAAAATGACGAGGTACTGTAAAAAGAGTGAGTGGGAGGAATTCCACCGAGTCAGACACGGCTAAGAGTTTCAAAGCCATGCTTTAGGAGCAGGCGCCTCTTATGATTAAAGTAACTGAGAATCAGAAGGACAAGAGAGCTCAGTGCCTGTAGAGAAGATGTTGACAACAAGAGGGAACACTACCTGAGATATAACAGAGGTAATATTCTGCTCCTCAAAAAAAAAAAAAAATTCCAAAAAAGATAAGGGTATACGTTCAATAATTAGAGGAAGCTGAGAGTGCTTTAAATACTAGAACCTCATAGGGCGCCTGGGTGGCTCAGTTGGTTAAGCGACTGCCTTCGGCTCAGGTCATGATCCTGGAGTCCCGGGATCGAGTCCTGCATCTGGCTCCCTGCTCAGCAGGGAGTCTGCTTCTCCCTCTGACCCTCCCCCCTCTCATGCTCTCTCTCTATCTCATTCTCTCTCTCAAATAAATAAATAAAATCTTTAAAAAAAATAAATACTAGAACCTCATAGATTAGCACAATAGATGGATCTAGAAAGAGAGAGCAAGCAACTACCATTGTTCTAGTTACTGGATGGTATAATTTGAGAATAGTTTCATCCTTCTGTACATGCTTAAAATTAGAAGACAATCTTACAAGGTAAAGCTGGCAAATTAATATGCAAAGAACTCTGTATGCAACTCATTAGTTTATATAAATAATTTAAATTACTAACTCTGTGAGTAACAGTACATTAAAGTTCCCCAACCTAGGGGCGCCTGGGTGGCTCAGTCAAGTTAAGCAGCTGCCTTTAGCTCAGGTCATGATCCCGGGGTCCTGGGATCGAGCCCCACATCGGGCTCCCTGCTCAGCGAGAGCCTGCTTCTCCCTCTCCCTCAGCCTGCTGCTCTGCCTACTTGTGTGCTCTCTCTGTCTCTCTGTCAATAAATAAATAAAATCTTTAAAAAAAAATAAAAATAAAGTTCCCCAACCTATACCTCTCGGCCTTAGCGCCGTCTTCTTGGAAACCCCCTGACTAAGTGAGCCAAGTGGAGGAAGAAGTGATGTGGGGGCTGAAGCAAAAAAGATTAGGCAGAGGTTCAAGCAAACAGCTAGGTTGTACACCCATGGAAACCACAGGAGCAGACATAAGGAAAGCCAGAGGCGAGGGACGCTGGTACAAACTCTTGGACTGCATGCTGACTTTCGAGAACTTGATTCAGTGGATCTAGAACGTCCATTGCCATCTGATCGCAACAACCACCTTTGAGAGACCCACCTTGCTCATACCAAAACTGTCCCTTTTGGTCCTATGCCCTGGACCTGTGACTTGAGGGACTAATTCTGTTTTCGTATGTGGCTGAATGTAACATATATACAATAAATCATCTCTTCTGCTGTCTTAACTAAAGAAAAAAAAAATCCCCAACCTATAAATAATTTTAGAAAATATTGTTACAAACCAATTTTATGGCTTTTCTTCTTAATTCCCATTCATTCCACTCATATGATCTCACAATTGTTGGTGGTAATATGTGCGTATCCGTCTGTGTGCTACTTTCAGACTTTGTAATTGGTTTTATATGTTTGTCAACATCCTTCATCTAAAGAAATCAAGTTTTGTGATTAGTAATTATTAAAAAACTAAGCATTATTTAGGAATAACTAAAAATATTTAGCTAAACTAACAAAAAGATTAGAAAAACAAGAATTTTTGAACATGGAATATACTCATAAAGACAGCAGAGAAAATAAGCTTGTAGTTGTGAGCTAAATGAGATAACTTTCCTGGGCATTATGGCTTTCTTTGTACCTGACTTTGTGAACTTAATATGGGAGACATATTTTGGAAGAGGAAAACATAACATCACTCATTCCTAATTCAAATGCCCCTCTCACATTGGTAGCATAAGCAAATACTTTGTTGAAAACTGACAGAAGTTTAAAATAGCCATTAAATATTAAATATAAATCACATTTGTTTGAAGTATCAAAACATCTTTAGGATATATCTTTTTTTAATGATAGCTGATGATGGGATTTTTAAAGTTTATTTATTTATAATCTCTACACCCAATGTGGGGCTCAAACTCATGACCCAGAGAAGAGAGTCACATGCTCTACCAACTAAGCCAGCCAGGAGCCCCTAGGATATATCTTAAACCCAAACTATGCATACACAGCATATTATCCAAGGTGGTTTTTGTTTTAGTTGGATATTTTGATTTTCTGCTGTGTCACTCACAAACTCACTATTAAAATATTAAATATTAACTCCAGGCTAAACAAGGTATGATTATGCGGTATATGAAATTGCTGGAGGGGGTGGTAGAGGTCTAAAGAACTCAGATCAGGGGCACCTGGGTGGCTCAGTCGTTAAGCGTCTGCCTTCGGCTCAGGTCATGATCCCCGGGGCCTGGGATCGAGCCCCTCACTGGGCTCCCTGCTCCGCGGGAAGCCTGCTTCTCTCTCTCCCACTCCCGCTACTTGTGTTCCCTCTCTCGCTGTGTCTCTCTCTGTCAAATAAATAAATAAAATCTTTAAAAAAAAAAAAGAACTCAGATCATAGTGAAGAGAAGGGAGAGAAGATTAGCTTCTTTTTTTTCTATTCTAGTATAACTAACAGTGTTGTATTAGTTTCAGGTGTACAATACAGTGATTCAACAATTCTAAACATTACTCAGTGCTCCTCACGCTAAGTGTACTCTTGATCCCCATCACCTATTTCACCCATTCCCCCACCTACCTGTCCTCTGACAACCACCAGTTTGTTCTCTATATTTAAGAGTCTGTCCCTTTTTCTCTTTGTCCATTTGCTTTTGTCTCTTAAACTCCACACATGAATGAAATCATATGGTATTTGTCTTTCTCTGACTGACTTATTTCACTTAGCATTATATCCTCTTGAGCCAACCATGTTGTTGCAAATGGCAAGATTTCATTCTTTTTTATGGCTGAGTAATATTCCTAATATATATATATGCCATATCTCCTTTATCCATTCAAGATTAACTTACTCCAAGGGGCGCCTGGATGGCTTAGTTGGTTAAGCATCTGCCTTCAGCTTGGGTCATGATCTCAGGGTCCTGGGATCAAGCCCCGCATCCATCTCCCTGCTCATTGGGAAGTCTGCCTCTCCCTCCCCATCTGCCTTCAGCTCATGCTCTCTCTCTCACTCTCTTAAATAAAATCTTTTTAAAAAAATAAGATCTTTAAAAAAAAAAAACTTCTTACTCCAAATCAAGCAATAGATAATCACTGATTGCCCTACCATTTAACATAAGATATCATTTTTGTCTTCAAAACTATGTTATGATATAGTTGGATAGATAAAACATGCTGCAGATGATTAGCAATATTATACAATTCAAGTAAATGACTAGTAAATAATTATAAGAACCACAGCTTTGAAATATGAAGGTCACTGAAGAAGAGCTGGGAATTAAATATACAGAAAGGGAAAAACAAGAACAAATAAATGGGGGGAAATTGTTCTTTAATGGAAAACTACGCATTATCTACATATAGCACACCTTTCTGATGATCTGATTCTAGCCTTTCACTGTCTTTGAGGTATCTTACAACTCCGTAAGTTATATTAAGTGGCAGCAAGGCCAAAAAATTCTTGTCTATAGACAGGCAAATTCATAATGCCTTCAAGGTTTTTTATGGAACTTGACAATGTAATTCTCTAATTTATAACAGAAAGTCAAGAGTCAAGCATAGCCAAGTTTCTTTAGAGAGGAAAGGGTGGGAGAACTTAGTCTATAGGCATCAAAACTTATTATAAGGCTCTAGTAAGATGAATAGAGAGCCTAAAAATTAAGCCTGTGCATTGAAGACACTGTAGATTCGGGGAAAGGACAGAGCACTGAACAAGTGGTCTGGGACAATTCACTACTCAAAAGGAAAAAAAGTTAAAATTAGATCTTCACCTCCCCCTAGACACAAAAATCAAATCCAAGTCAATTAAAGACTTGGGTGTGAAAGGTAAATCCATAATTGTTGTAAAACAATGTAGGAGAATATTTTTATGATCTAAGATACTTGAGGATTTCTTAAACAAGACACAAAAGTTGAAGACATGAAAGAAAAAAGAACAATAAACTACATATGAAATTGAAAAACTTTCATTTGTGAAAAGACACAACAAAAGAATAAAAAATATAAAACTGGGAGAGCCTAGGCCAGTGCAATGCAATCAAGAGCCTAGAAACAAACCCATTCCATAGGAAAATTGTTAATTCAATGGAGGTGTCATCATACTGAGTGTCATCATATTGAAAAACATATATTATTATTATCCCTACCAGTCACTGCTAGGATCACCTACAGTTTCAGAAGTAGGCAGAGTAAAAAATCTAACTAAAACCATTATGTTTTATTAAGACATAATTAATAAAACCACTATTTTTAAAAAAGCTAAGTAAAGGGTACTTCTTATGGATGGGACAACCCAATATAATAAACATAAACAATTACTTGATTATTTCATTTGATTATTTTAATGCAATTCCAGTTAAAATCTCAGGAAGATTTTGGGAGAAACTTGGCAAATTTATTAGGAAAATTACATGGCTATCTAATGATTCATGCATGACTATCTAAGACAATTTTCAAAAAGGAAAAGGGAAAGGAAAGAGCTTGCCCTATCAGGTAATAAAATATCCCAGAAAGCAATAGTAATGAAAGCAATATGGTACCAGTGCCGAGACAGACACACAGACCTGTTATCTTACAGCTCTAAGTTATCACCTGTGTTACCTGCCCTAAGCTCCTTTAATTTTAGATAAGGAAATACTATAGTTTCAATTATTTATCTAAATGTAGTATTTCTCTTCCAGAGTTCTCTAGTCTAATTCATCAACTTGACTCCTTTGCTTGTTTTCATTATTCTTTACGGATTTCACTAGTGTCCCTCTTCGAGGGTGAATGTCTTTCTGAGAGCACTAAAGGCCCTCTTTGGATCCTGTCTCTGTCTGGACTTAGGAACCATTCTACAACAAAGTCTGACTTTTTAATTAAGTATTCTTTTAAAAGTCATAAATTCTTAAAATACTGACTCTGCTTACATGAGAATATGGAATGAGGGTTTCAAACTGTTGATGAAGCTCCAGGAGCTGAATTAATTCTGCATTTTTTTTGGCCTTTTCTCTAATTAAATCAATATAATTTTCAGGATTTTCTGCAAATAAGTATGCAGCATCTCTGGTATTGAAAGTGTAATACTTTTCTTTATATTTCAAAATCCCAATTGCTGGATTTCCTGAAAATTAAGAAAAGGAAATGAATTAGGCATGAAATATTAAGTGATTCTATGTTTGTAATACATCCATAAAACCATCCCCTATCTACTGCATATTTAACATATGACTTACACTTTTCATTTTGCTAAAATAGTACAATTTGCAAATTTTTTAAAAAACTTTATTTATTTACTCATGAGAGACAGAGACAGAGAGAGAGGCAGAGGCAGAGGGAGAAGCAGGCTCCCCGCGGAGCAGGGAGCCCGATGCAGGACTCGATCCCAGGACCCTGGGATCATGACCTGAGCCAAAGGCAGACGCTTAACCGACTGAGCCACCCAGGTGTCCCACAATTTGCAATTTTAAATTATACATTTTATTAAATTATATTTTATGTGAAATTCATATTAAATTATTTTAAAGTATGGTTTATATAAAAACTTACTATCCAGATATAAGGTGTTTGAAAATCTCTTATGAGAATCACCTAGTCGTCTGATGGTTTTTTCAAATCTCCTTTAACTAAACTACTACAAGCATTGTTTTTAAAAATAATTCTATAAAAACTACAAAGATGGGACTTTTTTCCAAAATAGAGGTTTCTTCTTTTTCTTTTTTTTAAGATTTTTTTATTTTTAAGTAATCTCTACATCCAACGTGGGGCTTGAACTCAAAATCCCAAGATCGAGAGTCGCATGTTCCACCGATTGAGCCAGCCAGGGACCCCCAATACAAGTTTCAATGTTAGAAAATATTTCCCACTGTGAATGGATACTACATAAAATATGGATTATTAAATATCCACATAGTTGGTGAGAAATAGTAATACTGTCTTACTTATTTTTTCACTTGTTCAACAAAATTTATTGGCCTTATTCCTGGCACTAAGGATATAAAAGAAAACAAATTTCCTGCTCTCAGTAGATCAACAAATATATCATAGGCCAGAGAGTACTGCAGAAAAAATAATTAAACATAAAGCCAGCTAAACACATAGTAAAAGGAAGAGGGTGAGGTTGATATTTTAAATTGGGTGATCTAGGAAGTTTGAACAAAATGAAGTAGCAAGATACGTAGCTTTATGCGGGATAGAGTTTTCCAAGTAGAGGGAATAGCAAGGCAAAGGCTGAGGTGAAAATGTGTTTGGAACGTTCAAGAATAGCAAGAAGGCCAGTGAGCCTGGAGCAGTGAGCAAGGGAGACTGGCTGGCAATGAAGTCGGCGACATCATCTGAAAAGGACCCTAACCGGTAAGCCACAGTGTCACCTTCTTTCTAATAAAAAAGTAATACCCAACTGTGAAACATAACAAAAGAAATAACAAAGAACAAAGAAAAGGAGGAGGTTAATGGTGTAAGGTAAATTAGAAGTAATTTTGTCAGGGGCGCCTGGGCGGCTCAGTCGGTTAAGCGTCTGCCTTCGGTTCGGGTCATGATCCCAGGGTCCTGGGACACAGCCCCGCATCGGGCTCCCTGCTCCGCGGGGAGTCTGCTTCTCCCTCTGCCCCACCCCCCGCTCGTGTTTTCTCTCTCTCTCTCTCAAATAAATAAATAAATAAATAATTTTGTCAAACTCTTTTCATTCTAGCCCTAGCTGACTTTTTATTTCCAATTCATAGGGCACTTTTGGATAATAATTTCTGGTTTACTCTTTATTTTGGGGAAACTCTCATAATATATACATCATGGAGAGATTTTACTTGATAAAATACTGGCCATCTCCTTAGATATGACTTATCCAGAAATCCTGATTTATGTTAATGGACTATAACCATAAGGTGACAGCATATTGTGTAATAAACATAACCAGCCAAATTAGTGTTGCTCTTTCAAGTCATTACTTTGGAAGATGATATATTTTAGTAATGCCATGTGAATTTCTCGAATCCTTCATTGGACATATGAGTCATCCATCTTTTTATGATACTGTGGCATCCATATTTCATTATATACACATTCCATCACTTATCATTTGTAGCATAATCTCTTGGTTATGTCAGTCTACCAGATTATTCTGTGAGTACTTCAAAGATGAAGACGGTCTGGATCATCTTTGTGGCTCCTTTCCTAGCTCATCATCAGATCCCATAAAATTTTAAAAAACGAATAAGTAAAAAAAAAAAAAATGAATAAGTGACAACGATAGCACTTTATTCAAAGAAAAAATGGGGAAGTCAAAGTAAGGTTGTTCCCAACAATATACCTGGAAGGAGAAGACCATCTGTTGTAGCAAATGTGTAAGCACAAAATCCCCGATACTGAATTAACAATTTATCAAAATTTGCTGTTGTTTCTGGGAAAAGCCATTCTTGTTTTCTGAAATCTGCCAGATGTACTCTATCTTCTAAAATGAAAGAGGAGGACAAGAAAAACTTTAGTCAATGAGAAGAGTAGACAACCCAAGGAAATGAGCAGAAAAGACTGGCTGCTATATGACTAAAATAGAGATAGATCAGCTTCATTCAAGACAGTAGAGCTCTTCGTAATAGACTAGGTGGCCAAATACTTGGAATGTGATGCTCATACACAAGGACTATTGCTTCTTGAAACAGCAGAGAATGTTCTGAGCAGAAAGATTCAAGGAAATCCCTCTCAGTAACTTATTTTTGATAACAAGGTGTACAATTTTTGTTCTTTACACTTTAAAAATTCTTCCTAATCGTGGTTGGTTTACTTATTTACATGTGATAAACACACTGTCTAAATTTTTTTCTCCAAACAAAAACACGTATTTATAAAACATCGATCCCCAAGGGTCTTAGCTTTTGCAATCCTTATACTAATCTTCTGGGCAGGGCCCTGTATCCAAACGGCAGATACCGCAGATGCCCTTGTGGCCACAGCTAGAAGTAAATGCAAATGCTGGGAAAAATAAACCTTCCTTCTTTTTTCGTGATATACCTGAAAGCCTCAAAACAGTGATGAGATGTGGCAAGTGTTAATTAAATTCTTTTAGAAGAGTATTCGGTCTCCCAATTCACTGGGATCAGTAATGGGATAGTGTCTTATTGAATATAAAGTTGTGGCATATGGGGGGAAATGACATGTTAACTCTAAGAAGTAAATCGTTTTGCCAACATGGTTGAGTTTAATATCTACTGTTGAGGTGACTTTAACTTTTCAGTTTCATGTAGTATCTGTGTATATATGCTGTTTTTATAAAATAAAAAGAGTAGGAAAAACTTGAACTGGAAGGATGCCTTTGAGTCTCTCTAATTTAGTTTTCAGGGGTTTTTTTATTCTAATAGTCTAAGAATGGAAAAACCACTTCATTTTCATTTTCCACTTTTACAAAATTTGAATTTGAAAAGGAAATTTAGAGAGTAAATTATCTAATTTCAATTTCTGGAAAAACCTTTTTAGGCAACAACTCCTAGATTCTATTTTGGCATTTCTCATTAACTTCAAGTTGTCTGTAACTAAGACAGAAGACAACAAAAAAGTAAATAGCAGTCTGTTGATAAAGACAGCCTTCCCATAAGAATCAACGTGTCTCTTAAAGGGTCTAAAATAAGCTCACATTTACAGGGATAAAATTCATTGATTTGTAAATTTCAGCCTGACTCTGAAGAAGATATAGGGCAAATAGCATTCCAAAGAAATAGAGCTTTACTTGCAACAAATATGGCAAGGATTAATATCCTTTTTTACTATGAATCAATCAATAATAAAATCATTAAGACTACAATAGAAACACATAGGCAAGGAACATCATTGTCAACTAAAACACTGACAATAACATCAAGAATGTTCATTACGGGATAGTAAGGTACTCAGTGGATATATTTTCTGTTTTCCGCATTTTCTATGACAAACATTAGTACTCTTTTAATCAAGAAAGATGCTTAATACCTTATCAGGAAGAGAGTGCATGAAAATTTTACCTTTTTTTTTTTTTTAAGTAAACTCTACACCCAACGTGAGGCTTGAACTCACGACCCTGAGATTCAGGAACCCATGCTCCTTAGACTGAGGCTGCCAAGGGCCCCAAGCATGAAAATTTTAAAACAAAAGAGTGACTTTATTCTAGAGGCAATTTGAAGAGGAAGAGGAAGTCAAAGATGATTTCTATTACCCAGGTGTTCCTTTACCCTACACACATCAGTTTTCACAGTCAGCCCATCAAGAAGATTCTGTATGACTTTCTCAGGAAAGAGTAGTTCATGAGCACCCAGGAATGGTACAAGATGAGTTGTTAAATTACTGAGGACACTAATCAAAACAGTTTCATCCTGGAAGCTAGTCCACAGGTTGGAAAGTGCGATGAAGATGGGCTGAGGAAGAGAAAGCAATGTTCAAAATACAACTGTCTAATAAAATTATAAATCACTGTACTCTTAACAAATTTGTGTTTGTAAAGAAATTAATTCTTCCAGAAGACAAGTCAAAGTCTCCCGAGGTTAAACAATAAAATCTACAGGGCAACTGGACTCATAAGTTATGAGAAAAAACTTGTACTTTATTTCAAAGCATTTTATCTTGGAGTGATTGTCATAAAGTTAATTTACCCAAAAAAGCCAAACATTTATGGATGCTTGACCTCAAAAGGTCAAGGGGAAATAGCTTCTTTTTTTAAAAAAAAAAAAGCTAAATATAACTCATTACTCTCAGATTTATCTGGCTCAATCATGATTCAAAAGAACCTGGAAAATCTGGATACATCTTAGGGCATATCTTGTGAGCAGCAAGTTAAAGATTTTAGGTCAGTGAGATAGTTTTTTATTCATATTAAAGGTCACTGACTTACAGAACAAACATTAAAAAAATTAATCAGGCCCTACTAATAAGTGAAACAGCTTAGCCTTTTGTTTCTTGGTTTTTAAAATCGAATATTAGGAATGGTTACAGAAAATTCTCAGAGCCTCAAAATGCTCTATAAAATACTGCATGTGCATCTTATACCTCCTTAGGGCTACCAGATTTGCCCATAAGGTGGTGCAGATAATCAGAAAGTCAGTATACATATAGGCCCGGTAAACACAGTGATCATCCTCTGTCTCTTCACAAAGGTCACAAGTTACACCGCCTCTTTGCTGGAGGCAATTTTAAACCAGCCCCTGTGAACATGTTTTCAACGCTGCCTTATGGATTCATTCTGCTGCCACAATCTTTACTGAAATTATGGAAACCATAACACAGATCTGCATCTCCTTTAGTAGCAATGGCCTGCAAGGGCAATTCCTTCATTGGACTTACACTACTACTACAAAATAGCTGTAAAGAACAGGATCAACTTGTATAGAACAAATATTCTATTTTTAGTAACTAAATATAATTATAATTACTTCTGATTCAGTTGTATAGGACTCAAAGGTATATTCACCCTTCAGCAAGGTCAAAGTTGATAGCAAATACTTACAAAGACTTGTGACGTTGGGACAGCTGTCTTGGATTTTACAATCATTTTTAATTGTTCCAGTTGGGCTCCTAACTGCTTTATCATCATTTCTACTTCTTGAGCACAGGTAATTATATCTGACTGTGAAGACAATATAACTTACATTAATATTTTTATAATTTCACTATAAAAATCACGTGTTTTGAGCCCTACCTGCTCCCTATAGCCCCTGAAGGTAAGCACAATAAGAGCAGAAATTCTCTTGTTCCTGGTACCCCCAAACCAAGAACAGTATTGGCATACGGAGAGTGCTCCAGAAATATTTGTTGGATGGATGAACCTTTTGAAATACAATGGCTATAATTTTTCCCAAAGGAATTCTTTTGCTCAAGGTATTCTTTGAAATGCAGTATAATTGCATTCCTGAGAAGTGGATCCTCTGACACAGCTTTGTTCAACTGTTATTTTCCCACTTCTCCATAAGAAAATTAATGAGGTGCTCCTCTGAAAACTATTCTGATACCAGAATGTTTACAAATTACATCCAAGAATGCAGAAAAATCTTAAAAAGCACATCACTGAAAGAAAAACAGTATATTTCTGATATGACACTAGTAATCTGAAAATAAGGTGTTAAATGCTGACTCTGATATAATGACTAACATTTATTCTTACTGTGTGTTAAGCATCATATGAAATACTTCTAAGTGTAAAAAAGGGGTGAGTATAAAGAGGAAGACCAAGATACTAAAAGGTGAATAAATTGCCCAAGGACACAGTTTAATAAAGGGTGGAATCATGGTTCCGTCCCAGACCACTGGAAGCCAGAGCCCAGCTCTTACCCATTATATTGCACTACCTGAGATACGACCGGAAACAGCAGTGGTATGGGCTTATCAGTACAGTGCAAAAGAGTGAAAGTTACTTGAAGAGAAAAAAAATGCATCTGAGTCTTCAGATACTTGTAGTCAAACCACATGCTTTACTAGACCATTTTTTAATGACAAATAATTACTTCATAAAAATGCCAAATATTACTGTATTTCAACTAATGAAATTTTTTATTCACAAATGTAACATACATCCTGTTTTAAATGTACCCATACTATTCTTTAAGCATCTCCCTTCCCCTTGCTTCATGCTCCATGTAATTCTGCCTATTCCATCTAACAAGTCTCTCATCTACCCCATAGTTTTCCCCCTTCTTTGTTAGTTTTATTTCAGAAATCAAATACGAAAATGGCATCGTTAAAGTCTCTTTAGATTTGTGCAACAGCAACAAGAAATAGAAATAAACCTGCATATGCTCTTCAAAGGAAAAGTTACATTCAACACATAACTTCTTTAAGCCTATAACTGAAGATACTCTAGACTTTCTCCCTGGAGCTATGTTTTCAGGGACTCACAGAAGAGACACACAGGACTTTTTTTTATTTTTCCTGATAATGACCTAAAACAATCACTCTGTTTACATTTATCTAAAAGAACTCGTTCACAACTAGGTGGAAGTTTTAGTTGTAAAGTTGGTCCTCACAAACAAATAGAAAGATATTCTGTGTTCATGGAGTAGAAGAATTAATATTGGTAAAATAATCCATACTACCCAAATCAATCTACAGATTCAGTGCAATCCCTGTCAAAATTCCAATGGTATTTTTCCAAGAAATAGAATAACAATCCTAAAATTTGTATGAAGCCATAAAAAAAGACCCCCAAGTAGCCAAGTAATCTTGCGAAAGAAGAACAAAGCTGGAGGCATCAGGCTTCCTGATTTCAAACTATATTATAAAGCTGTAATAATCAAAACAGTGTGATAGTGGCATAAAAACAGACACACAGATCAATAGAATGGAACAGAGAACCCAGAAATAAATCCATCATATATGTTCAACTAATTTATGGCAAAGAAAGCAAGAATATACAATGGGGGAAAGGACAGTCTCCTGAATAAATGGTATTGGCAAAACTGGACAGCAACATGCAAAAGAAGGAAACTAAACCCCTACCTTAAGCCATACAGAAAATCAACTCATACTGGATTAAGGACTTGAATGAAAAACCCAAAACCATGAATTTCTAGAAGAAACACAGGACAGTAAGTTGATATCAGGCTTGGTGATGATTTTTGGGATTTGACACCAAAAACAAAGGCAACAGGAGCAGAAATAAACAAGTGGGTCTATAATCAAACGAAAAAGGTCTATGGCAAAGAAAACTAGCAACAAAATGAAAAGGCAACCTGCTGAATGGGAGAAAATATTTGCAAATCATATATATGGTAAGAGGTTAATATCCAAAATATACAAAGAACTCATACAAATAAATAGCAAAAAAACCAAAAAACCAAAAACCAAAAACAAACAAAAAACCCAAACAATCCAATTAACAAATGGACAAAAGATCTGAATAACATTTTTCCAAAGAAGACATACAAATAGCCAACAGGTACACAAAAAAGTGCTCAATGTCACTTACCATCAGGGAAAGGCAAACTAAAACCACAATGAGATACCACCTTACACCTGTTAGTATCAAGAAGACAAGAGAGAACAAGTGTTGGCAAAAATGGGGAGAAAAGCAAACCCTCGTGCACTGTTGGTGGGAAAAGTAAATTGGTGCAGCCACTATGAAAAACAGTATGAAGATTCCTCAAAAAAATTAAAAATAGAATTATCATATGATCTAGCAATTCCACTTCTGGGTATATATCCAAAGGACATAAAAACAGTAACCAGAAAAGATAAATGCACCCCCATATTCTTTGCAGCATTATGTACAACAGTCAAAACAAGGAAGCAACCTAAGTGACCACTGATGGATGAACAGATAAAGAAAATACGGCATAGGGACCCCTGGGTGGCTCAGTTGGTTAAGCGTCTGCCGTCGGCTCAGGTCATGATACCAGGGTCCTGGGATCGAGCCCCACATCGGGCTCCCCGCTTGGCGGGAAGCCTGCTTCTCCCTCTGCCTGCCACCCCCCTGCTTGTGCTCTCTCTCTCTCTTCCTCCCTCCATCAAAGAAATAAATAAAATCTTGAAAAAAAAAAGAAAATATGGCATATATACACCATGGAATATTATTCGGCCATGAAAAAAGAAAGAAACCCTGCCACTTGTGACAACATGGATAGACCTTGAGGGTGTTATGCTAAGTGAAAAGGTCAGAGAAAGACAAATATTGTATGATCTTACTTATATGTGGAATCTAAAAAAACTAAAAATAAGAAAAAAAAACCCAATCTCATAAATACAGAGAACAGACTGGTAGTTGCCATGGGCATGAGGTGGGGGTGGGGGTGAAATGGGTGACAGGGGTCAAAAGAAACAAACTTCCAGTTATAAGTCCTGGGGATATAATGTAACAGCATGGTGACTATAGTTAAAAATACTGCATCGTATATTTGAAAGTTGCTAAAAGAGTAAATCTTAAAAGTTCTCATCACACACACAAAATTTTGTAACTGTGTAGTGAAGGATGATTTTGCAATATACACATATACTTAATCAATACATTGTACAACTGAAACCAATATAATGTTACATGTCAATGATATTTCAATAAAAAAGCCAGTTTCACTTAAGAATATCTTTGATGATGCAGTAAAAGTATTAATTTTATTAAATCTTGATCCCTAAGTACAAGCTTTTTAATAATCAGTGGGATGAGATGGAAAGCACATATAAAACGCTTCTGCTGCGTATTAAAATGCATAGTTCTCTCGAGGAAAACACTTACTGACTGAATTTTGAGCTGAACTAGCACTTTTTCCCCCAGCAGAACATCATTTTTACTTGAAAGAGCAACTGACTGACAAACTATGACTTTTGAGCCTTAGCGATTTGGCAGATATTTCCTTGAAAGTAAATGAAATGAGTCCATCACTTCAGGGAAACAACGGTCTTTGTTGCCAAAGATAAAATTTGCATTTTGAAAACCTTGTGTATCGGCCACCATGAAACTGACAGCATCCTAAACACTTAAACATATTTCTAATGAGACTGTTGGTGAAAAAAAATAATGAAATTAGTCTTCTAGGAATGTTACCATTTTTGTTTTTTTTAATTTTCATAATGTGATCCAAAAAAAATGCTTGGGGGAAAAAAAGCATGTGATGCCGTCATGGTCCTTCCCCGTTCCCTTTTAATTGATAAATTCCTGATACTTTGTTCCACAATTTCAACAAGTCTAAAACAAGTACCAATTCCACCTAACTGATTTGTTTTACTTGCTTTATCAGGAAAAATCAAGTCCAGGGTTATCTATTCTGTGAATAGGCCCTGCAAACATAGCTTAGGGAGATGTCTACAAAAGTCTTGACTTATATGTTTTAAGAAATGTTATGTGTCAAATGTGGCATTTACTTGCACCGTGACAATAAGCGGCTTTCTCTCTTTGGTGACTGCCTTGCACTTCGAAAGCCCACAGAGGATGGAATTTTGTTCTCTCAGCTAAATCAACAAGACTGTGATCACCCCTCCCTCTTCTCTTTCACAATATCTGAATTGTTCACGGCAGCGAAGTCCTAATTGAAAGAAAAGAAAACAAATCGCTACCTTACCCAGGCTATAATTAAAAATTCAAAATGTTTACATAAGCGGCAGTTAGTATTGGCAAAAGAAAATTTTTAAATCAAAATCAACCCTTCAGAAAGTTATATTAATATATTTGCTCAAATAATGTGACTTTATTAAAAAAGAATATTCACAGGTTTCATGGACAGGAAAAATTCTCAGCTCAACATAAACTGACATATTTTATAACCTAGAAATAATATGATTAAACCAATACCCATTCTGTAATAAGCAACCTTAACTGTAATTAAGGTGGACCGATGGGAGAAGACTGGATATTTAAAAACAACAAAAAGAAACACTCATTAAGCCAAAAAGAGTAGGACGATGAAGAGAACTCATTCTGACCCTGACTGAAGTTGGCATGGAATCGTCACGAAGAGGGGTGAGATGAGAAAGTTAACTTTCTCAATGCTGTAAGCAGCAAAGGACGAGAAATGAGATGCTGTCCAGTCTGTACCCCTACAGAAATGAAACCAGAGGTGCTGTGCTGAAGCCCTAGCAATGACGACGGTGGCATTACTAACCATAACCAGCATCAGCATGATCGTCACTTTAGTGAGCCCGTAACTATGTGCCAGACACTGGTCTACCTTACTTGTATAGTGTCGACTATCAATAACCCCATTTGACAGATATGGAAACCAAGACACAGAGAAGTTACGCTATTTCCTCGAGGACACAGATTTAGTAAGCGGCAAAGTCAGGATGAGGACCCATGCATGCTGGTTGCAGAGCCCACGCTCATCACTGATACCCGCGACTTACTGTCCTTCTAGCTGAGAATGAGAGCTCCAATGAGACTCTCAGACTGGAAGTCAGCTGCATATGCTCCGTGGCTGAAAGCCCTGAGAAGTTGAGACAAAATGCACGACATTCTCTACAACATCCTTACGTTATGAGTGACCATCTCCAAAGGTTCCTTCTTCTGATATCCCTTCCCAACACAGATGACAAAGTAAACGTGAGACTCTTACTCCTGTGCACCTGCATGCATTTCAAGATAAATTGACCGTAAACTCTTCTCAGTATCTGACTAGTTATACAAGGCTGATGGCCACAACTCAGTGTTAGAGGAACATCTACCCAAAAGGATGATTTGGTTTAGAACAGCTGATCTAGAGTCCTCATTTCTGAGGGCAATTACATAGTAGGACAGTTGTGAGGACCACCTCCTAGGTTGTTGCAATGAAGTCATGTCATCTGGATTTTATCTTCCTCTTCTTTACAGTGAAGGTAAGGAGACAGATCAAGTGCATCCAGAAGTCGTAACAAGTGATTATTTAAGATAAAAGTTAAAAATGCATCCTGCCCCATCCTTCAAGACGTTAGTATTCACTCATATAAAAGACGGTCCACTGACCCTGAGTCTCACAGTTACTGGAAGGTAGAGGTTGTGTAAAGGTAAACAGTGACCACTGGGATGAATGTGTTATTTAACTTGATGGGAGAAGTTGCTTTCACAATGTAGATATACATCAAATCATCACATTGTACACTTTGAATATCTTACAGTGTTGTCAATTGTACCTCAATAAAGCTAAAAAAAAAACCCAAAAAACAAAACAAAACAAAACAAAACAAAAAAACATTGACTGGTAGGAACACAGCTTGCTGCCAAGATGTAGTTAACAAACTGTGTCCCCTAGAACCCTAGGGTGGAATGGGGATGTTCCTTGGTGAAAAGGTCCTTCAGTCCTTTCATCTAGATACCTGTTTTGTATTTTTGGAATTCTGAGTAAGTTTCCATCTGAAAGAAAGTGCTCTGCCACTTTTTAAAAAAAGTTTAAAATCACCACTTTACCAAATTTTCCAACTATTTGGGGATACTGTTTAGCTTGTTCATTAAATCTAAAAATATTAGCGATAAAAATCTTTTCAACCAAATTTTACAACAACAAATAATTACATAAAAATTACTTAGGTGCGGGCGCCTGGGTGGCTCAGTTGGTTGGGTGACTGCCTTCGGCTCAGGTCATGATCCTGGAGTCCCGGGATCGAGTCCCGCATCGGGCTCCCTGCTCAGCGGGGAGTTTGCTTCTCCCTCTGACCCTCCCCCCTCTCATGCTCTCTCTCTCTATCTCATTCTCTCTCTCAAATAAATAAATAAAATCTTTAAAAAAAAAAACACTAAACATACTCTTAAAAAAAAATTACTTAGGTGCTAACTATCTGCCCAAAAATACATCAGATACTTGCTCTGTGTGAAAACAAGGCAGTATTACTTACATACACATACACACCACTGCTTAACCACAGCATGCTAACGATCATTCCACTGGGCACCAAAGAGAATCAACAACTAGAAATCAATTCCGATCAATATTTTCCATTAAAATAAAAACCCAACTTCCCTATTTCTATTTCTGTTCCCAGCCCTACAAATGCAATATAAACTGAGCAGTTAGGAAGTTTGCTTCCTTTAGCAATGACCTGATTCTGCCTTTTGCGTAGCCCTGTAACGTGTAAAGCGGTTGCCACATGACAAAAAGGCCAAATCTTTTGACATTCGCTCACCAAAATGATTTGAAGGAAGACCTCGTACTGCCGCACATTATACAGTGCTTCTTTTAACATATATGGCTGAAGCTCTATACTCAGGAATGGGTTGTTGGCTGCTTTCTCAAGGATGGCCGTGTAGCGGTAGGCCTGGTCCTGGGCAGTCTGAAGTTGGGAATCAATGTGCTGCGTGGTGGCTGGGATTGCTTCACGCAGAATGGCTGGCACTGGTTTTAAAAGGATATCGAGAGACATGACAGAATCTATGAAAAGCCTAGAAAGTAATAACTCGAGCATTACATTTTTTTTTTCTCAACCAAATGAATAATAACAAGACGTAACATATGTCATGTGTTTCTTCTCACACCATGAAGGAAAGAATTGGGGCGGGGGGAACACCTGTCCAAACAAAAGATATTGTCAGAATGATAACCAAAAGGTAGCAGATCAGTTTTCGCCACTAAAATACAGAAGAATCTAAAGAATAGACAGGATTTGGTATGATGTGCTACTGGCCATGAGCCTCTAGAAAAGGCATATTTTGTGAAAAGGAAAAAAAGAAACTGATGAGGACACTGAAAAATAACAGAATAGTCTAGCAAGATAGGAAACTTTATAAAAAATGGGAATTTGACTTTCTAGAACTTTCTAAAACTTTCCAGTTTTTCTATTTTAAAAACTGACCCTATTACACTAGATAAGTGATCTAGTAACAGACACTAACACCTAATCAGTGGACCTACATAAGGAAGTCCCTTCTCCTGAGCCCGTGATCAAATATCTCATGAGTGCTTTCAAACTCAGAGATGATGAATGCATTAAGTACAGAACAGCACAGTAAATGCTTCTGGATTTGCAGATTTGCAAATATCTCCTCTTGGACCTTTCCATTCCATTGGTTGCATCAACCACTCTTCTCAGGGTGATTTTTATTTTTAGATCACTGAGTTTTACTCCCTTTTGGTTATCTGACTTGGAATAAAGAACACAGAGCCCAACAAACTGGAGAGGCCGGCCTTCAGGCAGACCCCTCATTCCCTCCACTGATTCACTCTCCCACACTAGCTTCGTGTACTATAATGCTGCAAGTCTTGCCCCAGCAAAATTAAAAATTACTATCCATTAGGAACAGTAACAGTACCTAAGGTAGAGTCAAAACTGCATACCTTAGGGGCACCTGGGTGGCTCAGTCGGTGAAGTGTCCAACTCTTGACCTCAGCTCAGGTCATGATCTCAGGGTCATGAGGTTGAACCCCATGTCGGGCTCTGTGCTGAGTGTGGAGCCTGCTTAGGATTCTCTCCCTCTTCCATTGCCTCCCCCACCCCCCGCTCACATGCACTCTCTCTCCCTCTCTAAAAAAAAAAAAAAAAAAAATGAATTTAATTTAATTTAATCTAAAGACCCAGCATACTTAAATCTAAGAATGCCGGTGAAATACTGTGCATTATTTTCCTCACTGTGCAAGTTAGATTTTAAACCTCCATAACCTGCAGACTTCACCTAATGATATACCTACAGTCATCAATGCCTTCTCCTCCCTTTCCGCAGTCTCGGTTAAATAAGCGAATCCCAGTAACAATCATGGTGAGTTCTTTCAGTTGGCGTTCTTTGTCCTTCTTAGAAAGTGTTAGAAACGTCCCAAGCTCAGCCTGAGGAAAAATACTCTGCAGGGCAGCTAAAACAAACCACAAAAAGGACAACAAAATGGTAGAATACAGATATCAGAACTTAAATCACAGGTTTCTTTCAGCAGAAACTTTAGAGGTCTGTCCTGATAGAGCTACTTATATGATTCTTCAAATTTCTGATACCTAGTTACAGAATACATTGCAAAATTTATCACATATCAAAGCTGGGCTACTGAAAATAATGCCATTGCTTTGTGTCTCTTTTCAGGAATTAAGCACCGTCAGTAATGTTTTGACAATGGGCATTAAAACAAGCTTTCTAATTAGGATTCTGAGCAGAAAAATTGCTGTTTTAAAATAATTGTGGAGGAAAGCCATTAAAGGCTAGAAATTTTGCCTATTCCTTATCTTAAATTAATAAAGTGGGCAAATACTTCCTGAGGATAAAACAGTGTCCCTTTCCATCATCTGTTTCAGATGACAGACCAACTCCTTTCATGAATATGAAATCTCCCTTTCCAGCGGTCCCCATCCGCCAGCCGGCCTGGTACTCTTAATCACACTGCCAATGTTTCTCTCATAAGGAGTGATGGGTCCCTGGATATGTACAGCTTTAAGGAAATTAACAACACACACTTTCCAGAGCTGCTGCTTGGGTTTTAGAGCTGATACACAGTATAAAAGGAGTCTGGCTAAGTTTTAAGCTCTTATTTATGCTGACTTTTTTTTTTCCCAGATAAAAAGGGAAACTCGGTCTTCAATACTTTGAATTTAACATCTTTTATAAGATACAATGTTCACATTTTTTCACATGTGGAATGGAAATTATATAGGTTTTTTTACCTGTTGCCTCTCTGACAATCTTGATATCGGTAGGAGATCCCAGCCCAGAGCGTAGTAAGACATAGCTGACAATCTTACGGTAGAGGCTTTCCAATTCTTCTCTAGCACATGCTCTGTTATCTGTAATTTCTCTCATAATGGAGCCTAACCTAGACTCCAAGACTCGGTGATGTTCTTCAAGAAATTCCTCTAAAATTGGCAAAGGACAACATTCCATATATTTGATTTAGAATCCTCACATAAGAAAGTAGGACCAGAGAAAAAAATGGCTTGGGTATGGCAATTCTATTGCACAAAAACAAGTATTTTCTTAAGGTGTACTAATCAAAATAAAAAACACACAGTGGGGCGCCTGGGTGGCTCAGGTGGTTAAGCGACTGCCTTGGGCTCAGGTCATGATCCTGGAGTCCCGGGATCGAGTCCCACATCGGGCTCCCTGCTCAGCGGGGAGTCTGCTTCTCCCTCTGACCCTCTTCCCTCTCGTGCGCTCTATCTCTCATGCTCTTTCTCTCAAATAAATAAATAAAATCTTTAAAAAACAAACAAACAACAACAACAAAAAAACACACAGTGGCCAGCAAGTAACCTCAAGGCAAAAATCTAGTAGGAAAGAGTTACTGCAGTGCTTTAAATGGCATACTCTGTCAAAATACCTAAGACTTTCAACAGACAATCCAAACAGTAATATCCAAAAGGGTTAAAACCTCCTAATTAAGCAGAAAGTATAGAGGGCAATTTATAATATACATATTATAAACATATACAGTAAAAACATACATACTATACACATATTTACACATAACATCCCATGTAAGCACAGGTGGTATGTTATATGCTAGCACACACAGTAGAAATACACATGTATGTAGTGTAAATCTTCCTGTTCAATTATGCGTATTTTTATTTTAGTTCTAGATAAATTTCCTTTGAATAGCATTACTGATAATATGATGTTGCCTCAAGAACTGCTTCCCTTTCCCCTCTTCCTGTGATATGATGAGATCTGGGCTTAATTGTGGCAGGAGCCACAATCCACCAGCAGTACAATTCTTGCAACTAGCTCAGTAAGACACCCCGTTTTACTATTTCAAGGGCAATAATTCACGTATCAACCATGCACCGTTCACACCTATACTTACCACAAAAGCAACTGAGAACTTTATGCAAACTTTAAAAATCTAAATTACAGTTTCATCAATTCCATGATTACTTATCACTTTAACATCTCATTAGTACTATGCAAAAAAGCAAGATACATAATGTATATATGGAGCATAAGTGAAAGTTCAATACAAAGAGGGAAAAAAAGACAACAAAAATCACCAAATGGTTAGTAATGATTGCATTACAGTGCAGTAAAGGCAGTCTAGTCTATAGAGTATTTTCCTTTTCCTCTTGTTGCCAGTGTGTCTTTGATGTATGTATTAAATTATTTACCTAAGGAAATATGTTCTAAACTTAAATTTCCCATCATTCATTTCATTTCATTTTGGTATAGTTATCTAATTTAGGTAAGCATTATAATACTATAAACAAAAAACAAAAAAAATCAGCAAGTTAGAAACTTTTAACTCAATGGGCTGGTTGTTTTAATTTCTAATTATTGTGTATTATTAGTAATAGAACATTTAAAACATGATAGACTTGGAAGCATAACTATCATAGGCATAATAACTAGAATTTACTTTTAACACTCACAAAAGCCATTGGTGTTTTTCTCATTTAGCATTTCCACCTTTACTATATTCTTCCAAATTGGAAAAAATTTCAAAAGACAGACTAAAAAATTAAATTGTTCATTGTCAACCAAATAAAGCCCTTATTACCTGAAATACAATAGGAATCTTTCAAAAAGGGTATCAAAAAAGTAGATACATGTTACCTCGACTTGTATAATTCATATCAAAGTAGACTTGCATCTTAATGGTGTCCAGGGATGGATTTTTACTATCCAACAGCCGAGACACACAAAGCTAGAAAAGAATACCCATGAATGTTTCTAGTTATATTTTCTGAAATACTCAGAAGCATTTTTTTAAAAGTATTTTCAAAAAAATTAAGAGAATCATCTAAGCAATGGTTTCTGATGTTCATCCACCAATAACCTCTTCTATTATTATTTTGCTCCTTGAGGACTTCATGCTTCATAGTTTACCGAGCAACAACAGTAAGTAATAAGTTATTTCCCTGAGATCAGTAATATCACCATACTCAGGTGGCTAACAGCCTAGCTGAAGGCAAGAAACTTGACACCTTGGCTAGTCTATGCAGTCCGAATGTGGGTAAGTGCTCCATGAAGGTTACGCTCCTGTCTAGAGCTCACCTAGAGCTCCTCATTACGATTTATTTGAGCCTCGAACACTTCTTTGCTGATTTGGGGGGTTACTTGCATTTTATGAAAAGCTGTTCCTCTGCTCACAACATTTCTCTAGCTTTGCCTTCTATTTCAGAATGTCTTCCTCTGGTCTTTTTCTCCCATTTTCCTCCCACATAGATGGCTCATTCCACTTCTCTGCTTTGTCCCTTTAGATTAGATGAACAACCTGAATTTTTCTTTTCTCGCCTCTCCTTCCCTCTCTTCCCTGTCTCACCCCTTAGGCTTTATATCTACCGCTGGCAGGCACATCGGCATCCAACACCCTCCATGCACCTCCCTTAGCACCAACCCTGCTTTTCCAGGATAGGGGGGGATGGAATGCAAGAGTGAGGCCTGGACGCTGTGCCTTTATGGATGCAGTCCGTGCACCTGGGTCTGTCCAGGTGTAGAGTACTGTTCTAAACACAGACTTTACAAATACAAAAATTAGCTCATCTACATGATTTTTTAAAAAAGATTTTATTTATTTATTTGAGAGAGAGAGTGAGCGAGAGAGAGAGCACAAGCTGGAGGGAGAGGCGGAGGGAGAGGGAGAAGCAGACTCCCCACTGAGCAGGGAGCCCGATGCGCGGCTCGATCCCAGGACCCTGTGATCATGACCTGAGCCGAAGGCAGATGCTTAACCGATTGAGCCACCCAGGTGCCCCTCGTCCACATGATTTTTAACTGAGAAAAAAGAAAACAGCCTGTGTCCTATGAAGCAGGATGTACATTGATAATTTATGTACCTGTCATATTAAAAGTATATTGAGTTTAATTCTTTCCAACTTAGTTGAGTTAGAGGAAAAAAGAAAAACTCCTCTTGAGCCCTGAAAAAGAGAAAAATTTATTTTCTGCCTTTTCTTGATTCTCCTTCAGAGCTTTCCAATAAAATTTCTGACTGACCGTCACAGTCATTTTGCAAAGTCATATTGCTAAGAACAGGTTTCCCACCACATTTAAAACCAGCACAGAAAGACCTAGCTCTAGGCTGCCCTGGAGAATCACAGCGTTTGTATAGCAGGAGCATCCTAACAACAGATTCCCCAGCTCCAGGTTTCCAAAGCTCTTCCTGATCCCTCTGGCATCTGCAATATAGACCTGGGCTCCACTATATGAATAGCTGGATGTGAGAGAAGATGGGGATGATGAAAATTTTCTCTGCCATTTGTTGGAGCCCAGAGGATACCCACATACAAGCCTGGGAAAGCTTGCTGCAAGTCCTTTGTGTGAAGGAAGGAATTAAAATTAAAATCATTAAGCCGGGGAGAAAAAAAAATAATGTTGAATTTTTAAGAAATACACCTAGGAGTATTTAGAAAATAAATATGTAAGCACCGATATCCAGTGAGTCAAACTCAAAACATGTGAAAAAATGGGCCGCCTGGGTGGTTCCGTCAGTTAAGCGCCTGACTTCGGCTCAGGTCCTGGTCCCAGGGTCCTGGGATCGAGTCCTGTGTTGGGCATTGTCCCTCTGCCCTTCCCCCGGCTCGTGCTCTCTCTCCAATAAATAAATAAAATCTTCAAAAAAAATGTGAAAAAAACTAATGATGTCTAAAATTCCTGCCTTCTGGGCCACCTGAGTGGCTCAGTTGGTTGAACATCTGCCTTTGGCTCAGGTAGTGATCCCAGGGTCCTGGGATCGAGTCACGGATCGGGCTCCTTGCTCTGCAGGGAGCCTGCTTCTTCCTCTGCCTCTCTCTGTCTCTCCTGAATAAATAAAATCTTTAAAAAAATAAAAATAAAATTCCTGCCTTCTTTGGTTCTTAAAACTGGTTTTCAGGCACATATCCTTGATTTCTAACTATGAATTATTTGCTGTGGCTTCAATATTTCCTTTAGAATTGAAAAACAAGGGGCGCCTGGGTGGCTCAGTTGGTTAAGCGACTGCCTTCGGCTCAGGTCATGATCCTGGAGTCCTGGGATCGAGTCCCGCATGGGGCTCCCTGCTCGGCAGGGAGTCTGCTTCTCCCTCTGACCCTCTTCCCTCTCGTGCTCTCTCTCTCTCTCTCAAATAAATAAATAAAATCTTTAAAAAAAAAAGAATTGAAAAACAAATGACATTGAATCAATAATTATCTAAATCTTAATTTAGTGCTATGTAATTGTATAGTATATGACAAGTCAATGTTCTCAATGTAACACAAGATTCATAACAAGATGTCTCTAAACTACTGTGGCAGATATTGTTACCTGCCAGTATCCATACCTCATCCTTCCTTACTAACAGCCCCAATCTGGACTGGGGAAAAGATTTGTTCAGCTGAAAAAAGAAAAAGAAATCAATGTCCCAGGCTCGCTTGTAGTATCATTCTGGTCAATAAATGTAAGCAGATGAGAAAAATTCTGAGAAAGCTATTACTTTCTGAATAGAAAGTGACAGACCCAATTGGCACACACATTTTGCCTTTTGTTCTTTCCCCTCATACCTGCGGAGAGATGGAGTAGCTATCTTGTAACCATGAGATGAAAGAAGGTGACCCAGGAAGCCAAGAAAAACAATGTATCTCTAGACTTTATGAGAAACAATAAATCTCACATTTGCCTGCACCACTTGTTGGTAGGGTTTTGTATCATGAAGTTCAGGGCAATAACGGCTCATACAAATATTGTATTCAGAACTGCAAATAAATAATTTAACATTTGAGAATTGTTGTATAATCACCTTAACGAGTTTCTGTACATCACTTTTCATGAGGGGTCTATCCATGTTAAAGCCATTACTTGGGTCCAAGACAACAGCTTTCACCTGAGAGTAGGAAAGAAACTACTAAATAATTTTATTTCACATAATTATGAAACCAGTTTGTTTCCATTTTTTAAACTGCGTCCTGATTACTCAGGGGTCAATTATTCAGCTGATTTTCTTATCACCCAATTCATCAGCACCTTCATTAGAGGTTGAAGAAAGGAAGCAATAATCAAATTTGAATATGGGGGTTTGAAAAATTATACGGAGAAATAAATTGAAAGCAGTGACTAGATTTTAAATTGGGAAACTATTTGAATATTTTATCATATTTTTATTTTGTATTGTTAAACCAAAAGCAAGAATAGAGAGACCAAGGCAATGAGAAATTTTTAAAACAGTGGACAAAAATACATCTTATAACTCTGACACAGAACAACATTATCGATGCTTCTAAAACAAATCAAGGTTTCTAAATCAGTCTCTATAAATCCAGAAAGACATGCTTCATAGAAAAAATATTTTTCGCTAAGTTGTCCAATGGTCTCAATGTTTTCAACTGAATAACATTTAGAAAAGCTTCACAAAATTGTAAGAGGGAAATGGGCACCGCTTAAAGCTATTTTTTTAATAAAGCAGTAATTCAAAAAATATTCATTCTTACCATAAAAGCAGCCAGAGTTTCAGAAACAATCTCTCCATGGCCTGCACATTCTTGTCCTATTTCTCGAATGATATTCTTTATAACACTTTCTGCCTGAGTGGGAGGCATTCTGGCTAAATAAAACAATGATTTTTTTTTAAAAAAATGTATTTATGTGATTTTTTCTCTTTAGATTTCTCATATTTGTAAAGAGTCATACTATTATTTATTAACTTATTAGTATTTATTAACCATCTATAAAAATAAAACGGTTCTATATTTATAAAAATGAAGGACTTTGTTGATGACAGAAAGAGCAATGAGGACTTCAAATTGGGCTTGAAATATTTCCTATTTTGTGAAAATGACATAGTAGAGCCATTTTTAAAACAGAGCTGGAGGAGGCATTTCAGGGGAACTGCCTAACATGTCCTCTTTTCTAAATCTTTGAACTAAGCCAAACTGCCAACATTCCAAGAAGTCAGCAAGAACAAGATAATCCTGTCTGAAAAGCATGATGACAAATATGAACTTTTTGACTAGTGATTACTTAAACTGACCAATGACTGATGTACAAAACTAGCCCTGCTTGTCAGCACCAGTGAGCTCTTCTTAAAAACAACTTACCTAAACTTTTTTCTTCCATAAAAACCCTGAGTCCACCTCCTTTAATTGGCACACTACTGGGTTTCTACTGGGTTTCTACTGTACATCCCCAATTGCAATCCTTTTATCGCAAATAACCACTTTGCCCCTTGAAGTGGTTTCTTGTTTTTAGGTTGACAATTTAAATGACAGTGGTCACCAAAAGTATATTTATATCATGAATTTTTTTTTAATGTGCTGACTAAACAGTTTTGAGGGGGTAGATATTAAAGAGAAACCCCAGCCCTATCTGTGCAGGTGGCAGAGTAGTTTTTAGGAGGAAATGCTTATTCCACCACATTCACTAAGTGATCTTTCAAAAATTATATGGGACTCTTGGAAAACAATTCTTGCTCATATCATCTAAATTCTCTTTCCTGCACATCCAAGTTGGAGTTTGGACTTTTGACTAAAAACATAAAAGCAAAATAATAATAACAATAATAATAATAAAGCATATTACATGAAATATGAAAATTTTGAAAGATGAACTCCTAGTTATTAATTCCATTTACTACAAATCAGTAAATACGTTTTGATGATACTGAGTTTCCTGATCTAAGCATCAGTAACTGAGCACAGGAAGTCTTTGCATGCAGAGAGTAACAAAGGCAATCGGGGTAGATAAAGCGAACTCTCAGCATTATTAGCGTTCAGATAATGTAGCACTTGGCATTTTGTCCAGTAAGAACCAAACTGCCTGGGATCCCTGGTGACCTGATCATATTCTAGCTGAGACCCTGGGCATTTTGTTCCCCTCTCTTTGAGCCGGTTTCCTCTGAAAAATTTGATATGACTACCACCATCTCCCCAAAGTTGTCCCAAGACCTAAGTGAGTTCTATATACCTAGTGGTTAAAACAGGGCGTGGCAAAAGTAAGCGCTTAAAACAGCAGCTTGCAACAAGTACTCCGTGTTAGCTGCGCGCGTTCGCGAGCGCTGCCAGGCACTGCGCAGGGGGTCGCTACTGACTCCCCTCGGTACCCTTCCCCGCCCCACTTCTCCCCTTCTCCGGATTTCTGGCCTTTGGGGTGCGAGCGGCGCCCAGCAGAAACCCGAAGGCTCGGACGCCCGCCCAGAGCGAGTTCGAGGTCTAATCTGCGGACCTGGGCGCCTCCGACCGGAAACGACCTTTATTTCCGCCTGGTCTACGCGCTGCCAAAGGAATTCTGACCGACAGTTAAGTCTCAACCCAGGCTGGACGGGGTGTCCAGCCGCAGGGGCTCCACCTTCTCCCCACGCTCCCTCCTCTCGCGGTACACCTCGGGCTGAAGGGCGCAGAGCCCCAAGTGGGCTCACCTTGGCTTGGAGAGCTAGAGCCCAGTCTATCCGATTCTTCCCCTCTGCCCCCGCTTTGCCCTGCCTTGGGGCAAGCTGCAGGTATTCCGCGTGGGCCCGGCAACCATGGAGATAGAACGCTGGGGATGACTTGGTGGGGCCGGCATGGGCGGGGCCAACGTGGGGAGGCGTGGCTGGGCCCAAACTCCGGAGGATGGGCGAGAATTTTAAAAACAGAAACAAACAAAAAAAAGGAAGGTCCCAAACCCCAGGTGGAGAAAGTCAGGTTCACTACACGTTAGTGGTTAAGGGTGTCAAACACAAGATTTCTTAATGATATTTACTTGTGAAAAACTTAATAAATAGAAACCTCACTAAAAGCAGACTTGGGAGGCTAGAAAGGGAGCCTGGAAGAGGGAGCCCCTATCACTCCACCATTAAATTATAGGAAGAATTGTCAATGACACCCCAATAAAAGAATCCTCAAAAGGAAAGAATCGTCAATTACAGGCCTGAACAGGGAAACATACATTGTAGCCTATAAGAAATTGACCACCCCTGCAACTCAGCCAATGAGAAACCCACATCCCCCTAAACTCTTGCTTTTCTCCAATGGACTTTTATTGAAAACAACCCCTCCCAACTTCCTCTTTCTTCTCAATAAAATAATGTTCCTTTCCTTTGTTAGTTTTGCCTATGGTTTTGTGTAACTCTCTTGTCCCAAATTGCAGTTGTCTGTTATTCCTGAAAAAAAAAACCATTTTGCTGGTAAACTAATTGGCAACTTTATTTTTAAGGTTCACACTTGCTCGTGTGGGAACCTATATGGCCTTTAAAAGGGAGCGAGGGGGAGGCACAAGCCAGTTTGGAGAGGATGGAAAAATCAAGAGATTGTATGTTGTATGGAGCTTATATAAAAGTATCTCGTTTTACAAAACAAAAGCAAGGGGCACCGGGGTGGCTCAGTTGGCTCAGTGTCTGCTTTCTGCTGGGGTCGTGATCCTGAGGTCCTGAGATGGTCTGCGTTGGACTCGCTGCTCCTCCCCCGTGCTTCTCCCTCTCCCTGTGCCTGCGGCTCCCCCAGCTTGTCCTCTCCGGAGGAGGCACGCTCTTTCTCTCAAATAAATAAATAAAATCTTAAAAAAAAAAAAAAACTGTATTAAAAAAAAAAAGCAAAAAGGATCACAGCTATCCAGTTTGGGCCTGACTTAGATCAGCCCAACTCCAGACAACCTATAGATGTGTGATAATAAATTAGTATTGTCTTCAACCACTAAGATTTTTGGTTGTTTATTATACACTATTATAGTGGTAATAGTTCATCTGTAAACCTTTCAATAGTCCAAATTTTTCATTATAAAAGAGATAATAATAGCATTTACCTCACAGAGTTGAGCATAAAATGAGGTGATACTTATAAAGCATTTAGCATATGTCTGATATAAATAAAAGGATCATTAAGTTTTAGATATTATTACCTTTATCACTGCTTTTATTGAAAAAATCAAGTATGAAAATATATTTTATACTCCCATGACTCATTGGACTTCTAGTCCTTATAGAACTAATTTTTCCTAGTTTTAACATAGCAGCAACTTAAAAAGAAACATGGGAGACCTAGAGTACTTCCAGAGAATCTTGTCAGAAAAAAAAAAAGTGGGAAATTGGATATATTTACCTTGAGAAAAAGACAGCATGAGAACTGTTAATCAGTTTTGTTTAAAAAGAAGGGACTTTAGGGCGCCTGGGTGGCTCAGTCGGTTAAGCGACTGCCTTCGGCTCAGGTCATGATCCTGGAGTCCCAGGATCGAGTCCCGCATCGGGCTCCCTGCTCAGCGAGGAGCCTGCTTCTCCCTCTAACCCTCCCCCCTTTCGTGTACTCTCTCTCTCATTCTCACTCTCTCAAAATAAATAAATACATCTTTAAAAATAAATAAATAAATAAAAATAAAATAAATAAAAAGAAGGGACTTTAAGTATCAGAACACCAGAGCACAAACCTACATTCAGTAGTGGATTTAACTTAACATAAATAAATAGAGCTGACCAATTATGATGGAAGTAACAATAGAGGAAGTAAGCTCCATTTTATTAAATGTTTTTATCTCAAGGGATTGAGATTAAAGGGATTACCTTCAAGAATGTTGTAGACTTAAAAACCCACAGCTAACATCACACTATATGGGGAAAACAATGAGAGTTTTCCCCTAAGATCAGGAACAAGACAAGGATGTCCACTCTCATCACTTTTGTTCAAAATAGTACTGGAAGACTCTATTTATTTATGTTAAGTTAAATCCACTACTGAATGTAGATCAATGGATAGATCATTCAGACAGAAAATCAGTAAGGAAACAGTGGCTTTGGGGCACCTGGGTGGCTCAGTCCGTTAAGCGTCTGCCTTCAGCTCAGGTCATGATCTCAGGATCCTGGGATTGAGTCCCACATCGGGCTCCCCACTCAGCAGGGAGCCTGCTTCTCCCTCTGCCCCTCCCCCTGCTCGTGCCCACGCTCTCTCTCTCAAATAAAGTCTTAAATAAATAATAAATAACAAACAGTAGCTTTGAATGACACATTCGACCAAATGAACTTAAAAAATATACAGAGCAATCCAACCAAAAACAGCAGAATATATATTCTGTGCACATGGAACATTCTCCAGAATATATCACATGTTAAGCTACAAAACAAGTGTCAATAAATTTAAAAGACTGTAATCCTATCACGCATCTTTTCCAACCACAATGGTATAAAACTAGAAATCAATCACAAGAAAAAAACTAAAGAAAACACACACACATGGAGGCTAAACACCATGCTACTAAACAACTGATGGGTCACCAAAAAGTCAAAGAGGATACTAAAAAATACCTTGAGACAGATGAAAATGTTCAAAATCTTTGGGACACAGTAAATATATTAAAAAGGGAAGTTTATAGTTATATAGGCTTTATGTCAAGAAACAAGAAAATCTCACCTTACAATCTAACCTTACAATTAAAGCAACTAGAAAAAGAACAAGCAAAGCCCCAAATTAGTGGAAGAAAAGAAATAATAAGGATCAGAGTGGAAATAAATGAAATAGAGACTGAAAAAAACAATAGAAAAGATCAATGAAATCTAGAGTTGTTTCTTTGTAAAGATAAACAATATCAATAAATCTTTAGCTACACTCACCAAGGAAAAAAAGAAAGATAATTCAAATAAATAAAATCAGAAGTGAAAGAGAAGTTACACCACAGAAATATAAAAGATTATAAGAAACTACTATGAAAAATTATATGCCAACAAACTGGACCACCTAAGGAAAAAGATTTTATTTATTTATTTTTTTTAGAGAGACAGAGTGAGCAAGAGGGAGAGGGAGAGAGAATCTGAGGCAGACTCCCCACTGAGCACAGAGCCCAACGTGGGGCTCAGTCCCATGACTGCAAGATCATGACCTGAGCTAAAATCAAGAGTTGGACACTTAACCGAATGAGCCACCTAGGCACCCCCCCAAAATGGATAAATTCTTATAAATACACAATCTTTTAAGACTGAGTTAGGAAGAAATAAAAACTTTGAACAGACCGATTGTTAGTAATGAAATTGAACCAGTAATCAAAAAACACACAAAAGTCCAGGACCAGGTGGTTTCACAGGTGAATTCTACCAAACATTTAAAGGAGAGTTAATATCTATCCTTCCCAAACTATTCCAAAAAATTGAAGAGGAAGGAACAGTTCCAAATTTATTCTATAAAGCCAGCATTACCCAGATACCAAAGCCAGATAAAGACACTAAAAAAAAAAAAAGAAAGAAAGAAAAGAAAAAGAAAATTACAGGCCAGTATCTCTGATGAATAGATGCAAAAGATCTCAAGAAAATATTAGCAAATCAAATCCAACAATATATTAAAAGGATGGTTTACCATATCAAGTGAAATTTATTCTAGAGATGCAAGGATGGTTTAATATCTGCAAATCAGTCAACCTGATATACCACATTAACAAAATGAAGGATAAAAATCATATGATCAGAGGTTGGGTACCAGGAGGGATATTGGTAGCTGCAGCAAGTTAAGGGATCGAGGCCAAGCTGGGCCTGCAAGAGATTGGTGTCCACTTTGCCAGTGCTTTCCTGGCAGTCAGGGTGTCAGGGAATTCACCAAGAAACACTATATGTTTTGAATATACCTGAAGAAGGCAAACCCAGACCTGCCCATCCTAATATGCAAGTGCTCCAATGTGCAGCACAAGTTCTGGACCCACAATGCATGTGGCCAAGAGAAGAACGTCTCTTTGAGCAACCTCAGTGCTGATCAGGTAACCAGAGCCCTGGAAAATGTGCTAAGTTGCAAAGCCTGAGGTCTCCACTAAGGATTAAGCACAATGGCATCACAGCCTGGGCTTTGCTGAACTGAGTTCAATGTGGAAAAATATGTTCTTTTTTTTTCTTTACGAAGCTTGTGCTGAAAAGTGTGATCTCAGAAGATTCTTTTCCTCATTCTATCCTCCACCCCTTATTACACAACCACTGAGGCAAAAATAAAGTTTTATTTTGTTCATCCAAAAAAAATTATATGATCATCTCAATAGATACAGAAAAAGCATTTGACAAAATTCAACATCCATTCATGATAAAAATTCTCAGTGAAGTGGGTATTGAGGGAACATACCTCAGCATAATAAAAGCCATATATGACAAACCCACAGCTAACGTCATTCTCTATGGTGAAAAGCTGAAAGCTTTTCCTCTAAGATTAGAAACAAGACAGGGATGTCCACTCTCACCACTAGCCATAGCAATCAGACAAGAGTAAAATGCATTCAAATTGGTAAAAAAGAAGTA